TGAATTAGTTAAGAAGTTGCGTTGGCCATTCATCCCCCACTTATGGAAGTGGGAGTCTTCTGGCTGTTTAGGATAAAGGTAGCTTTCTATTTCTTCCCGATTGAATATTTTTTGGTTTTCTAATTGTTCTCACAGACTAGCCGTAGTCATATTGAGTGTGTTTTTAAATCATTCGAGAGAGGAAAGGAGAAAAAAAAGCCCAAAATAATTTCCTAATATATTAAAATAATAAATGTAGACAAAAATCGAGGAAAAAGTAAACATGAAAAAAAGTCTAATTTTGGGGAAAACCAAAATGGGATAAAGTTAAGTGTTTACGGAGTTGAGAATAAAAACTTCTTTTAATTTTTCTTTTTAGTTTTTTTCCCCTAATTTTTTCTTTTATTTGGTATTTTCGTAAGTGCTGAGCCAGAGCGATTTCTAATTTCACCCATCTCTTCTTCTCATCAACAAACAGAAGCCGTAAGGGAATGAGAATATAATTTTTGGCTTTCATAACTCCAATTATTTTGTTTATCTCCCGTCTGGTAAGCAGTAATTTTCTCTCCCGACACGAATCAATTTTTATGAAATTACTGGCATGTTTATAAGTGGCAATATGCAGTTTAATAACATACAATTCCTTTTGCCGTGGTAACACATAAGCCTCGTCAATTGTCGCCTGACGATTACGAATTGATTTTATTTCACTACCTTTCAACTCCAAACCGGCCACCCATCTCTCAATAATTTTATAATCGCGAAAGTTTTTCTTGGCTTGAGCAATTATTTTGATTTCCATAATAAAATCTTACAAATTAAGCAAATTGGTTTGCTTCTTCTTAAATTTTTTATCTTCACAATCCCCTTTGGATGCATAGGTATTTTTAAAGTATAAATTTTTTGATAAGAAAAAGAATTAGTCTTTTCTAATCTTTGCGGCCTTGGCTAAGCAAAAAAGAGCAACTTCGCGGCTGCGAATGAAGAGAGCCTTGTAGTTCAATTTTCTCGGACCGTGATTTTAATTCGGCGATTATTTTTTGGCATTTTTCTTTGGCAAGTTCCGAGTGCGATTTCTCTCGCCCTTCCATTAATAAATTGACCTTGACACGAAAGCCCTGGTCTAGCCAGCGGTGAACTTTATTCAATTTTTCTTGTAAGTCTTTTTCCGAAACGTTGAAAGAAAAACGGATCTGTTTATTAATATCCAATTTCTTCGTTTTTTCTCTTTTTTTGCGTTCGAAGAGATATTTTTTATAATCAACTAATTTACAAACTGGTGGATTGGCCTGGGGAGCCACGCACAAAAGAGTTAAATTGGCTTCGTGGGCTTTTTGTAAAGCCTCTTGTTTGGAAAGAATAACTTTTTCTTCTCCTACCAATAGAATTTGGGAGAAAGGAATATTTTCGTTAATTAAAGGTGAAGATTTTATTACTTTGTTTGACAATATATTTTTAATTTTATTACTTTTAATCCATAATCCGGGTTGGATGGGGAGAAAATTTCTAAGACTTGGTTTATAAAAACAATTTATTTGTTATCCTCTTCCTTTTTGTTAGTTTTCTCTACTTTTTTATTATCTTTTTTTTCCTCGCTCTCTTCCTCTATAAGATAACTTACAAAACTCCTTTCTCTGTCTACTATAAAAGCAATACAATCACAAAGCCATTCTCAAAGTGAGAGAGTCCACCACTTTGGTAAACTTTCCGGATAATTTTCAACCTAGTTGCTGAATTTTTGCAGAATAGTTACTAACTCATTTAACTCTTCAATAAATTCTTTGTTGTAGTATCCTTGCTAGAAGGCAATTACTCAAAAGTCAAAAAAATTTACGGGAGAAATTTACTCCAGAGGAAATTAACCAACTTTGCCAACTACAAACTGAAATAACTAGCTTAGAAATAAAGTTAGAACAAGAGCAAGCACGAGAACAGGAAGAATTAGTAGCCAAGATTGAAATTTCTTCGAAGTAATTAATGATACTTCAAGTTTCCACGTATATAGTCAAAAAAAATTTCTTTATCCTTTGCTTGCTGGTTTCTTTGATGAGGGTGATATTTGGGTAAAGTAAGTTAAATATTATATATGAGTATTCCGGTAATAAATAGCGAAAAAGAAGCATGATTAATCAAATTGGATATTGATGGCACCAGCACTAACCCCGACTTTGCCACTTTAAATCCTAAACTCAAAAAGATTTTACATAAACTACAAGCCCAAGGCCACAAAATTGTCTTCACGACCGGAAGAAATTACTTGTCAGCCTTGCCTTTTTATCACCAAGTGAAGTTGGATACTTTTTTAGTTACTTACAATGGGGCCTTTATTAACAATCCGACTGAAAACTGTCCCGAAAAGGAAAAAGTAGTAATAGTTAATCCTATCGCTAATCAAGTAGTAAAGGACATTTTAAACGAACCAACAATCAAGAGAAATTGCCGTAATATTCTTATTGACAAAGTTACTCGGGAGACACTTTGCACTAGTGAAGACATTTATTATCAACAAGTTTTTTTTAATGCTAATCCTTATACCCACGGAGAGAATATTTTACAATTGTTAGGAGAAAAAGACGCTTTACAATTAGTTATCGAACTTCCTAATGAGGAAAAAGAATTAAATGACATTTTGATGATATTGCGTAATAAGTATAGTGCAGCCGTGACTTTTTATTTTGGTAATAAACTAAAAGCTGCGAAAGAAGGAGAAAAAGTGTTAGTTCCTGACCCCGACCGAGTAGTAATAAAAATCCGTAATAAGTTTGCTAGCAAAGGCATGGGAGCCGAATGAGCGGCTTCTTATTACAATATTCCTTTGTCTCGAGTTATTGCTTTTGGTAATGACATTAATGACATTGAACTAATGCACATTGTTGGTCATGGTGTAGCCGTAGCAGACAGCGTTCCGCACTTAAAAACTTATGCTTACGGCATAACTGATTGCGGTCTTCTTAATAGTGATGGTGTGGCTAAATATTTAGCCAAACATTTTGGTTTGCCATCGGATTAACTTGTAAAAGTCAGTTTTGCACTTTTGCTTTGTCTTGTCTAGCCGAATCATCAGGTAATTTCCGATTATCAGGCATAATGAAAAATCTTCCACAAGCGAGCAAGAACGCAAACAAATTTGTTATAATTATTAATAAAAAGTTTTTTTCTCTCTTAACTTTTTTTACCAGCCAATCAAGTTACGAGGGAAAGTATACTGGTGACCATAACCAAGTGGTAATACCTGTTCCCATCCCGAACACAGAAGTCAAGCACTTGCGTGACGAAAATACTCATCACGGGGAAGATAGTTCATTGCCAGTATTACTTTTCCTATTTTTTCAGTTAAGTGAGTAAAATTATTTTCTTAAATGGCTGTGCCTCTGTTGGTAAAACCACTCTTGCCAGAGAAATTCAGAACTTAAGCAAAGAAAAATATTTATACATACCAATTGACACTCTTTTTGGTGCCATGCCAAAAAAAGTTGTTGGTTTCGACCAAAAAGCCGAAGCAGGATTTCGCTATGTTATTGACCCTAAAACCGGTGAATTAACCGAAATGAAAGTAAGCCCCTGAGCCGGAAAAGTATTTTCCTACTTGCCAAAAGTAGTAAAACTACTGGCTGATAATGGTTTAAATGTAATTTTTTGTGAATGCAACTTTGTCAAAAAAAATAACACAGCGCCCTTAATTGATGATTACAAAGTTCTTTTTGCGAACCATGAATTTTATATGGTTAATGTGAGAATAAAGGATTTAGAAACTTTGGAGCAAAGAGAAAAATCGAGAGGTGATAGAGTTTTAGGAATGGCGAAACTTTTTTATGAGGCTGAAAAAAATTTCAATTATGCTTATGACTTAGTTGTCTACAATGATACTCCTGAATCTCCCTTTCTAAACGCTAAAAAGATTTTACAATTAATTTACAATTAAAAAAACTAATAAAAATAAGACTTTAGTCCCAGGGTGATTGCTATAAATAAAGAGTTGGTCCAAAAGTTAATTAAAGATCAGTTTCCCGAGTATGCTTGCTTACCAATTCGCCAAGTAGAAAAAAACGGACATGATAACAGAACATTCCGCTTGGGTGATAAAATGACTGTCAGGCTACCGAGTGGAAAAGGGTACGCTTCGCAAGTTGAAAAAGAAACACTTTGGTTGCCAAAATTAAAACAGCATCTTTCTTTGCCGATCCCTACTCCATTGCAAAAAGGCCAACCAACGGCAGATTATCCCTTTCCGTGATCGATAAATCAATGGATCGAAGGAGATGCAGCAAATTATGATAATATTACAGATTTGAAACAATTCGCGATTGATTTGGCAAGATTTTTAAAGGAACTTCAAGCAATTGATGCTTCTAATGGGCCTGTTGCGGGCAATCATAATTTTTATCGAGGCGGAGATTTGTCTGTTTATCCTAAACAGCCAGAAGACTCCCACTTCCATAAGTGGGGG